TACATTGAAATAAATTTGGTCTAGAAAATTTACATGGACTACTGTATGAATTATGTCAATGGACATGTTCTTTAATTTTGAGTATATTTAAGTATAAAATGTTTTGTTCTGTAAATGGCGTGCTCCTTGCTGTAAGATTTGAATTAAAATAAAATAAAATAAAAATTGAAAAAAAATTAAAATTAAAATGGGTTACACTACAGATACATCGTAATTTTTAAAAATAGAAATGCTTTCAAGAAAAACAAAGTAGTTATTTTGTGAAGAAAATCACCATTTGACTATAAATACAATTTGTTAATTAAGTTGGTTTTTTTTAAATCTCTTTATCTTTAATTTTCTTGTAAGATCATTTTACATTTTGTTCATTTTATGTATATTGTATGGACGCACCACCTTGCTAGGTGTGTGCCACTGATCTAAAAGTGAGTTCCAATAAATACAAAATACAAGCAAGTGCAGTATGTTTACAAAAGTTTGTCAGATTGATGATGAGTAACATTTATATGGAGACAGCATAATAGATTTTAGACTTTATTTTTCGTTTTGCCTACTGTAGCTTCCTCATGAAATAAATTAAAATAACAAAAAGAAGCTTTTTGTTAAAGTCAACTGTATTTCTGATGATTAGTCATTTTAGGGTACAGCTTTGTATGTCATTTTTGGGAGATATTATCTGAATATGAATTCTCCAAAATACCCCGCCATTGTTATTGCTGTCGTCATTGATAATATGTCAGTGACGGTCGATTTCAGAAGACGATGACTAAATAGAACATTAACAGTAAAAGATATATATTGTCTGTGGTGAAATATAGAAAAAAAGCTCTAAAAATTCAATAAAAGAATTAGTTAAGTTATTTGCTTCCAGTGTACCAAAAACCAAAACCAAAATAAACGAAAATAATTTAGTTTTCCTTAAATTGATTGCCTATCAATTTAAAGATCTCTGCAACATAGGAAAGTCAATGTTATTCATATTTATAGTTCATATTTATATCTTATAGTGCGATAGAAATTCATTTTTTGTTGTAATTTGCAATTGTAAACTAATAGATTATTTTACAGAGTATTAAAAGAATTTAAATATGAATATATTAGTCACCTGCATTCATAGATGATTAGTCATCATATCAAATATATGTTCTAGCTCCTTCGTGGTATAATTTTGTAATTATTTTTTATTAAAAGAAAGTTACGATACATTATTTTGCTAGTATGAGTCGTTTCTATCTGAATATGAATTCTCTGAAATACCCCATTGGGGGTGTAAGTAATGCAGTAAATATTTGTGGGTATTGTTGTAGGCCGTTAATTTCTAATGCATACCACCAATACAACTTTTTGTTTGTCTGGCTAGGCCCCTGGGCATATGGATTTCTGTGCAGCATTCCGATGCATACGCCTCCTCATGGATGGTAGAAAGCAGCGGCTAGCATCATAAGCTGCCGAGACTTATCTGCATAATATCCAGGTCAATGTGCCACTCCCCATCAACATGAATCAACACCATTGCATTGTTGGTATTATTCCATGGTGCATGCAAATTGCATTCACAAGTATAACCACCACTTAATCAGTGGTTTAATGTGTTATTGATAAAATTCAATCTACAATATTATAAATACGTATTGTACCATTACTATTTGGGTTTTCCCATAATCTTGATATTATGAACAGAAAATAATTGTTGTAAGAATGTTGTTATATACAATCTATCGTGTAGTTGGAAAAGATCTATTTCTAATATAGATTGAATCTCTTCGACTTTGAGTAAAATAATTCAAAATAAGGTGAAACATACAAAAAATAATTATATCTAGAGTATTATATTGTTCAAAATGGTTATGGATTTAATAATTTTTAAGTTTATAAAACTATGTTAATTTTATGTATTATTTCTCAATATCAACTATTAATATATCTTTGCATTTAATTAATAATTCAAATTAAATTGTTATTAATTATATCTACAGTATATATTTCAACATGATATGGATTTAATAATTTATAAGTTTATAAAAATATGTTAATTTTATGTAATAATTCTAGTTGTCTCTGATACAAATTGCTCTTATATCCACTGTTTATATAACAGATTTCAAATCATATACAAATATTATTAAGTATCCTTATAGTAAGTCTATAATTTGAAATTTACAAATTTAGACAAATTATATACTTAAAATGATATAATGTTTAATTTCATTAAATTATTGACTTCATATTCTATTAAAATTCCTACTTTGATGGATTTATAGAGTAATCGATTTGAATGATTTATTGAATGATTGATTGATAGACGGATTATAACTTGATAGTCAAGATGTACTATTAGTAGAACACATGTTTTTCATCAGAAAGCTAATTACTATTACTAAAAATGCATTAAACATACATCTTTAATTAACACCAATGGAGGTGTACTGTATCTTCATACAAAAGTCATGTGATTGAACATATAATAATTTAAGCTGCAGTTGTTGGTTTGTAATTCATAAGTTATAATCCATCATTTTAATTGTAGGTTTTGATTCGATCTTTACTAACATTCCAATATAAAGTTTTGCCTAGTTTCTGGTTTCTACTGTGATTGATGTCTAGACATTTTTAAGCCCTGTAAAGTATGCTAATAAATGAAGGTCAGTCCTTACTGTACATCTCTTTTTCCCATTTTTTTAATGGTGGTAATGATTTTGTATGTAGGTTATCATAATTTTTATCAATTTTAACTATGCCTCATTGAATATGGTTAAAATTTTAGAAATAATGTTATTTTATTAAAGTAGTTCTCAGAGTATAATCCCACCCCCCATGAACGCGAACTTGGCCTGATTTTAGGGGGTGGGATTATCCCCCGGGGATTCCCATGTGCATGAACAGAACGAAAATGACGATCGTTTTGCGAGGTTGCTGAAGCATTAGAAAAACTTACAATTCAATGGCCCATTACAATTCAATGGCCTATCTAAAACTATATTCTGGTGAAGAAATCAGAGTTTACTCGAACATCAAAGTAGGCCTAAGCGATTTTGTGAAACTTCTTGAAGGAACTCGTTTGTTTCATGAAAAATTGATCCAAATAGTAAAGGCTAAATTGAAAATAGGTGAAATAAAAAAAAAAAACTAAATATAAATTGAAATAATATTTAATGTAATGTAACACTAACCAAATACAATGTTAATATTATTAAAAATAAATAAATTTGGATGATTTATGATTAAATAATGATAATAGATCAAAGTGTTAGAGTTGAAAAAAAACCATCTACTTTCCAAAAAGGCAGAAAAATCCATCACCTTTCAAAAATGGCAGCCAATCAATCAATCACTGATCAAACAAGTACTTTGGTTTATCCATTTGTATGAAAAAAAATCTTTTTGAACATTTCCATATTAGGAGAACTAGGTATGAAAAAATATAATATCAAATCCAAAAATAAAATATCTTGTGTACTGTAATACTAAACTATGTAGTTGAAATGCAATACTAAAATAGTATACATAGATTTAATGTAGTCGGTGCATGTACTGTACATATTTGCGGTATTTATGAATACTCCTTTGTGTCTGTATAATGAAAGTATCTACCAACACACAGGTTCTCCCAGGCCAGTACATTCCACAGTGTTAAGTTGTTTTTAGTTGCTGGTAAACTGATCATTTTTCCCAGGTTAGCTGCAGCTACTTTACTAGTTGGCTTTCAAGCTCACGTATTCGCCAGGTCGCCTATCATCATGTCTTGTTCTCTTTGGTACCAAATTCCTTTTTCAAGCTGGCCTCGGAAGAAAAGCGTGCATTGCATGCAGTGTAATATTTTTTGTGTCGACATGAATGTGTTGCGAACTTAGCAAGTCACCTGTACAAAGCTTCAAACATGGTTTCATTTGACACATTTCTAATTTTAATTTATTCATTCTGTTTACGAGATTGTCTTTGCTACTTATGAAATTGAACTTAATACAAAATGTATCCAAATTAACTAAAAACTAAATTATATTTATTTTATTAAACTTAAAATCTTTATTTTTCATATTAGTCAATAATAATAATAATGATAATGATAATGGTAATAATAATTATAATAATAATAATAATACGATTTATAAAGAAAAATAAGCTAAATATAAATTAACAGGAAATTATTAATTTTTTAAATATATAAAATGTGCTTGTCTTCATAGTTTTTAACGTGACAGCACACTAACGCAGCAGTACATGTCTGGTCAATGATGTTATTATGCATCTTGCTCACTCAAAAGTTAAGTCAGAACATTGAAACACATACTTTAATGTTCTTATTAACATTCTAAGTTCGTACAATGGAATGGTAATTTTGCATGATCAGTTCTTGGGCATTGCTTTCATTTGGCGACTTGAATCCATTGGAGTTATTTCCTTAGTGGTACTAAATAGGTCCTTATTAGTTATGTACATATTTATTGGTAATGTTCACATGAATTCATGTGCTGAGACTTACAAGTTGTTTAAGGACGTCTTTATCTGGTTGTTTGTTTAGTATGCTAAGACAGTCGGTGATGAAAAGTTGCAGGCAAGCTATCAATATATGAATAATTTGTATTGATAGGTCCAATGATTGATGAATAGGTCTCATTCCTATTTGGAACCTCTGCTTATCAGTAGTAATAAATTAGTAATGTGGTACTTAATACTCATGCTACATGTGGTACTTAATACTCATGCTACATGTGGCACAGATAAGAGGGATTGTGTCAGAAGAAGGGAAAGGATTGGTAGATGGGGGTCAGATTCAGTTACAGATATTCAACATGGAAGTTCAATTGTAGACAAGTAATTGGCCATCTATATAAAGTCAGGTACAAGTATCTCCAAACTTAGCCAATTTTTTTTGTCCAAAGGAGGTTGGTTTATGCTCCAGGAAATAATATTGCACTTGAATACTAATGTTACCAGTTGTTAGTTCCGATAAATACTATGCAAAACATTAATTTTCACATTTTTTATTTTTCTATTTATAGATAGGTCTTCTACTGAGTCATGCCGACAACATGCGGTTTTCCTAATTGCAAGTTTCGTTCACGTTACAAGGGAACTGACGATCCCCGCCATTTTTATCGCGTCCCGAAAAGACCATCTGTTTTGCGTGAGAAGTGGTTGGAAGCTATTGGCCGAACAGAGGAGACAATTGTTGGGCAGGTAGAATAAAAATGAAACAACATTGAGAATGGATAATTTTTGACTTCATGAAAATGTTTGCGTCTTGTTTTGTTGAATGTTTCCTTCAAATGTGGTAGTGTCCAATCCAAGCTTATGTACAAACATTAGTAAAATGTAAAACAAAGTCTAACATGTTTGTCAAAAATAGAGATCCACAATGTAATTAACGTGATCAATTCAGTAGAGTTAAAAACAAAAACCAACAAAAGTCCCTGGTGAAAATCTTTACAAAAAAGTTTGGCCACCATTTTCACACAGGAAGTGCCACAAAAACATTTGTCTCAGGTGGGCAAAGTGTGGCCTGACGTCAACTTTGTTGCGGCTCTGCGAAAATAAATTAAAACTCCTATGTATGCATCCCCTTTCCCCAATATCCTGCCTGATCTGGTCCCCACGTTGAACACCCACTGTATAAAAAGAATTAAAATATAAAGCAAAAATAAAATATCTGTAAGAATACTTGGACATAAAAAATACTAAAGGTATTAAAATCTTGATACATTGTAGTGTGTGATATGGTGTGGACACTGCCAGTATGTCACATGTTATTTTTGATAGATGGTCAATGTGGCAATAATAATTTCTTCAAATAATATCTGCATGTTGCATGTACAGTATATATCCTTGCTTGCTCATTGATGTGTTTGTACTCATTAGCTTGTCATCATACACTGACTCCATGCACCAACATCCTAACAACAATGTAGGTTGTAAGCCATGAATTTTTGGAATCACATTCACTAATAAATAAACTGCACAAATGCCTCTTGACAGAAAAGGGTCACATGCTTTGCTTAGGTTAGTGCTGACCTACATGTGTTCGATTTCCTGTGCAGCACATCTCTTAATTTTCCTACTTGTATCATGGGTTTGGTAAGAAAGCTGTATTCCTGGTAAATGGGTAATAATGTTTTCAACATCGCTCCAACAATTTAATAAACATGACTGTTTTATCCACAGATTATCCTTATTATCTCTTAACAGTGTCAACTATTTTATTTTTCAACTAATGTCTCTAACAAAAGTAGGATCATGATTTGATTTAGTGATTTAATAAAATATAAAAGTGATAGAACATTTTTTTTACTATCAAAACAGTTTAAACCCTCTATGAAACTAGCCCAGATGTAGTTTGTTTTAAGTAGATTCTAGAGGGCAGGCTTTATGGACCAGCTGAAAATCTGCCATATCAACCACATAGCTATTTAGCTGGTGCTTCAGAGAGATACTTACCAGTATGTTAAAAAGGATCGGACATAATCTACAATACATTTGGGTTGAGCTGTGGTATCGAGGTTGAGATGCACACTTTATCTCTGGGTTCATTCCTTTGAAATATGCCATACTTTTTATTAAAGTTGGCATAAATAAATTTTAAAAGGGATATGTAAAGCATTGATTACCTAAATAAAAATTTTATTTGTGATGATTGACTTAATATTAACTGCCAAACTGGTATTAATGTTGTTTAAATGATATTTATTACTAATAATTTTATATTGAAATATTGCATTTTGGAGTGAGGGAATTATAATTATAAAACAAAGTAATTTTAATTTAAAAATATTATTAAAATTAGTTGTTGTTTTGAGATGCAACTTGAATAATGTCCATTGAAGACATTTAATAATGTTAGTTGAATATTGCTGATTTCTTGTCTAATTTTTTTATATTAAGAATGAGTACCAGCATATGTTTTTGAAATGTAATATCAGATTGTAATAATAGAGAAGAATATGTTCAAGGTCTAATATAGTGCAATATCAATTTATGTAATAAGGTAATATTAAAAACAATGAGTAATGTCAAATAAAAGGTAATTTAAGTTAATTTAATGTGATTCTGTATTTAAATGATAATTACCAATTAGGCATTAGTGATGTGAAATTTAAACATCAATTTCTTCATGGCCCATTTTTTTAGTGGCTCATATTTAAATGTTTAATCCTTTCAAGCCTGTTTAAAATGATTTCTCCAGCCTTTGACTGCCTGTCACACCTGCCTCCTTTTGATTATACACATTATCAGAATGTACAGTATTTATTTATTCTAAAGGCAAATGAAACGATGGGTCATAAAAACGGTGCTCAAATTCTGCCTTAAAACAAAAAGGCATAATAAATGTAATTACTTTGTTAGTATATCAGCAGTTTCGGTCAATTGTGTGGTGAGATGTCAACTGTGGTTATAGCTTTGTAAATGCTATTAGAGCAATGGTTTGCATTATAAATAGTTGCACAGTAGTAGTAGATATTAATAGCATCAGTGGTATTCATAGTGTTGGTTTTATTACCAGTCAATGGTAGTAACATGTAAATACTGCTGTAACCAACAGTTATGCTTAATTATAGACAATATTTGTATATAATTTTTAAAAGAAGATAACAGTAGTATATTCATTATTGAGTGAATTTAACCTCTAAATATTAAAAAACACTGCAACATTTTCAGCTAATGCACTTTTTGCTTTCTATAGTAATATTATTGTGTTGCTAACAAGAACAAATGTTGACAAAAATTATCGCCATTGACTACACAATATAACCTTCATCGCCAGAAAGTGTACACTTACTTACCACAAAAATAGTTTTTTTCTACTCATGGTTATTTATTCATATTCTAAAAATCATCTAATTCTAGTTTAGAATATTTTATACCAACATTAATAAACTTTTTCATTGTGTTCTTACACACTTAGTGTTTGAGTCTCCTAATTCTTTTCATTTGTTTTTAAGAGTTCATTTTCTACACTTTTCTTCACCAGCAGCATTATTTGTGTTTATAGCTTCGCCACGCTTCACAATAGAAAACATATCTTTATCGCTTTTTGCCATTTCTGTGTTGTCCTCATTTTAGTTGATTTATCATTACTTTTTTTCCTCTTTTATGTTAATAAGTTTTTCCTTTACTTGTTTTATGATTTGATTTTTCTCTACCCCTTCTCCAGTAAGGTTATCAGTTGCTGAAATCCTATTCAATTCCGCGAGTGTATACCCAGGACAAGATTCTGCCAGTTTGCAAGTGATTATATTTGAGACTGTACACAAAGGTATAAATAAACATTATTAATACAAAAGTATTTCCTCCCATAAAATTTGTTGTTTTTTTTCAAACCTACTGTGGGTTTCTTCCTTGCCTTCAAGCCAGTGAACAAGTTTGTTTACCTTTTTTAAAAGAAAACTTATTTTACTAAGTGGTTTTTCTAGTTTGTTAATCGTTTTACTCTTTTTGATATTTTATTGAGAACTAAAATGGGTGCAATTCATTAGTCTTAAAATCAGATATTGGAGAACTGTTGTGTGTCCATATATAGTCATGAGATGCTTATACAGTAATGTGATGTCATCATGACAATATTTAGGCAAACCACATGTTTTTGTCAAAATAATGTGATACAGTAGTCTGGATTGGGCTTAAGTCCTTGGGTCGAAGTGCCTATAATAATCATTGAGGAAAGATTGAACCTACAACTTTGTAATTCAAAGGCTTGCACTTTGCTAAAGTACCACTTAAAAACATTCCTATCTGGCATTAAGGCATTATCAATTGCATTCATTCCTGGTCTTTTATTTATTGATTTTACTAATTGATAATTAGTTACTAGGAAACTTTTTGCCTTTTAAAAAGTATTTTTGCTATTTAGTTAAAATTGACTAACATTACAACAATATTACCATAAGCAAAAGTACTATCATACATGCTAAATCACTGTTAGATCAGGAACCAGTAGTGAATATATTAGTATCTTAATAAATCAAGAAAAGCAATGGATTTTTTTTGTTACTTTGTATTGTGTGGTATTGTGTGTATGAACTTGAGCCTCCACATTTTTGTGTGTGGCTAGCCAGATATGTCAAGGCAAATATTGTCATGAAACAAAATATAAAACCAGTGCACATTTTGGCTGTGAAAATATTTTTGCTGAGTTTTAAAGAATATTTTATTTTTAAAAAAAAATTAGTAACTGATCATCAGCAAGCAAGCTGTCTGCCAAGTTATGTGTTAAGCAGATTTCTACAGTTGAGTAGAGAATGACAACAATACTTTTGATTAGGAGCTTAACAAAGAAAAAAAAAATAAAATTAGACTCTTAGATTTAGTCTGCTAGCTAGATTAGAAATTAAATGAAGTAAGGTTGTCATCCTGATTGATTGATGGATTGATTGATTGATTGGTTAGTTGAGCATGTGATAGTGTAGATATGATGTACAGTAGTTGAAACAGTCTAGATAAATACTATGATTTGTTGAGTGTTGATGTTACTATGGCGACATAAACATTCCCTTTTATTACTTGACTACTATTGAAGTTGAAGTGATTTTTGGGTAACTACATAATTTCAAGGAGTTCATAAATATTTTTCTCCTTCCATGTTCCAGTAGATGCAATAAGTTTGATTTATAAGATTAATATATTAATAACATTAACAACAATAATAATAATAATAAAACAATAATTTTATGTTTCTTCTATGAACTATAAAATTATAAATAATTTTGAAGTAGAGATGGATTTAGGTAATAATAAAGAGTAATATTGAAATAATTTAGCAAAAATATTAGTACATATTTGAATATCTTATTTTTGCTAGAAATTAATAATTAACCCTCTTGAAATGAATTATAATGAATATAAGATATTCTTTTTCCTTTTTAGAATTTTTTTTTTTTTCAAATTAGATAGTAATACTTATTAAATACTTAATTTTAGAATACTGAAATATTTTGAGTCAAGTAAGCACAACTTCGGAGTGACCACTAACAAGAAACTATTGTTTTCTTTTACTTGGCCTTACTAGATGTAACCTCGAATTATGTAGTTTAATTGTAATTTCTTATTTTAGCATTAATGATAGGTTAATGATACTTGATTACTTCTACATTTTACAGCCTTTGTTGTAGTGAAATCAAACAAGTAATTATACTTACAAAAATACTTTTAAGAAATAATTATAAAGTTATTAATTAAATATACTTAAT